ATCTAATAGTGTAAGATGATTCAAAATCCATTGTGAAGAAAAGAAAAAATATCTAGAAGTATATGGAAAGTTAAATAAAATGCAGCATGGACTTAGCAAAAATAGATTCAGTTTTTGTTTGGTAACATTTTCTAGAAAATGAAAGTTGAGAAAATCTAAACCATTTGGACCTTATTAAAGCATCTGACACAGCAGTGGGAAATTAACAGAGACACTGAAGGGATGGAGAAGAGTAAAAATAATGTAATGTGGATGCAGAATCCATAAGTGAGTAAAACAACAAAAGGATATATCGGAAGGAGAATTATCATGTTCCTGTTTCCAGACATTGATTTCTGCTACTGTTGGAGCTAAGGATTTCTCTGGGGTCTCATCTTATTACCCTCAGGGAGCTAGCAATAAAGGAGGAACTGCAGCAAGGAAATTTGCATTAGACACCCAGCTGGTCAATGTACTGCCAGTGGTTAAATCCCACAGCGCAGGAAGGCTGGTGATCTTGAGGCCTGGAATAATAGAAGTGCGATGCATTTAACATGTTCAAGGAAGGTATTTGCTTTGTTTTGTGAATCTTTTACCCCATGCTATGATAACCTGCAATCAGTATATTCAGTGTGCTCAGCAGTGGTGAGGCTTCCTCTGGGATTTTTTGTTCAGTTTTGGGCATCAAACTTAAAGAAAGAGGTGGAGCAGCCAAAAACAACGAGAGGAGGTAAACAAGTATGGGGAGAAATTTAACGAGCGTGCCAGTGAGGAAAGAATTAGAGATGATTAAGCTAAGCAAGAGAGGTTCAAGAGGTCAGATGGTAACAGTGCTGAAATATGGAAAAGGCTGCCTGCTTTAAAGGAAAGCAGTAGTCTGTTTTCTATGCCTGTTGTTGATGGGACAAGAAATAACAGAGCAGCATTAGCCTGCAGTGGGGAGATTTAGCTTAAGCTTCATGAAAACCTTTTCTAATGAAAATTATAATTAAATACTGGGATAGATTGCTAAGGACACCACAGAGTAGCCACCTCTGGAAGTTTTTATTGCACAAACGTCTCTCAGGAATAATTTTGGCGTATTTATCCATTGAGAAGAGCAATGGAGTAGTTAATAGATATCACCTTTTCTAGAGTGAACTCCACTCACACTGTCTTCTCGTCCTATTTGTCCTCTTTGGCCCTACATGGACCACCTCCCACTAGTAAAAGGAACTGATGGTGCTGATGAGACTCTTGACAGTACCCAGGCAAACTAGTTGGCATCAGCCTTCTCCTCATTTCTCAAGCAACACATATTTAGGATTGCCAATGGCCTACAACCCTTAGGTGTTGGTTCCTTGCTGAGACTTTGCAGGAAAGTATTGCTGCCACCAGCTCCACAGGGCAGTAGGATGAGTGGGGAGGCAGCATGGTTAGCGAGGGGTCAGCTTGCTTTCCTGCCTAGGGGTTGATCCGTGGTAGAGTCACAGGCTAAGTTCAAGGGCTAGAAGCATCCAAAATGCAGAATGGAAGCGGGCATTGGTTGAGGGGCTCAGTTCAGAGGCTTAACCCTGCTCTGCAAGGCAAGACTGGGGTAGTGGACAAGCCTGTGTCAGGACTGTAGGTACCAGCCAGGACCTTCACATGGCTGGAGTTACACAGCACTACCCTTCTTCCAGCTCAGCAGGTAAGGAGAGCTGTGCATCATGCCTTATACTCAGAAAGCCCACTGTATCTGCTGTGTGGGGTCAGAGTATGACCCTTGGTGAAGGGCTTAAATCCCAGACAAGCCTGCTGTTTCGTTAAGCACAAAGATACCCTGAGTACAGGAGGCTGGAAGTGGGGACAGTACCTCCAAACACAACTGCCCACTGGCCCTGGTCTCCCGCTGCTCTGTAAGCACCTGCCCCTGACAGTGGCAGCAGCAGATCTCCATACATCTCCAGCCTGACACAGTAAGGCCATTCCTATATTTCAGTAATGAGCCTTCCTGGCAGTGAGGCCCAAGATCTGGCCTCTCCTAACCTCTCTCTGCTACATTTTCTATTATTCTTTACTAGTCATGTTTGAGAGTTGAACAGAAAGCAAGCAGCCTACAGATAAACTCTCACATATAGGCACCATATATATCCAAAAACATGGGGGAGTACAACACCTATTCAGGACTGCACCTTAAAGAGACAGACAAATCCATTATATGCAGCTGACCTTACTGGATTTGCAGATGTGTGATAACCTCATGTGTCAGATGATTCATTCTCATATAAAATTGCAAAACAGGAGCTCACACACACTCAGGCTCTGTTAGGGCTCTGCCTTGCCTGCACAAAACAGCTCCTGAAACTGCGTCTCTGCTGCCACCCCTGTGTTTACCACCTCACTGTCTAGCTCTAATGAGAGCAGTGCCTAGTAATGCAGGTGGCAAGCTCTACCCTCTAGACCCCCACAACAGTTGCAGCAGCAGTGGGAGAATTTCAGAAGAGGCTCATTATAAACGAAAGCCCAGTGGCTCAATCACGGAGCGGTGATTGAAATCTTGAACCTTCACTCATCTGAGTTAAACGAGCATTACTTTCCTCTGACGTGCAAGTTGTGCATTCATTGGCACAGCACAGAGGCTACCAGGTGGACCTGGAAAG